TACATAAAAAAAAAAACATATATATATATAAGTTATACATAGTCTAGCCGTTATATACGCGTAATTGTATACTTTAGGTGTTACACAAACACATACGCACGTACAAACACAACACAAATACATAGACAAACAAACAAATCCATACACACGCGCAGATCTGCAACGTGAGCTTAATTTTAATGTCCATAGTAATCTCTTTACTGTCAGTATTACGATACACTAGTATACTTGTCTCGCGAGAATCTAGACGGCTGATCTGCGTCGAGGGCAATTGTTGCGAGTCGAGTAAGCAGAGTATAGACATTAGGAGGTATACTTGTTTGTTTAATAATAGGAGAGGTATACGATGAACGACGAAACGATTGTACACGGCATTCTTTAACGATGCTTCATCATCGTCGTCGTCGTTGGTGCGTATTTCTTTTTTATACGTCACACCAGTCACAGCACATGCGTGACTTCGGATTTCCTAGGAAACGAAATGGCGAAAAAACTGTATGTATGTATTACCCTAATGCTTCTTGTTTCCATTTGATCGCGCACACTGGGTAGAATCAAAGATTACAAGGCTCTATACGTACCAAAAAAGAAAATAGATGGGGGGTGAATGGAAATTGTTGTTCGAGAATAATCCGATAATAAACGAGAATATTTATATTCCCAGAAACCGTCCGCTTCTTCTTACCGGACGTACGAAGATAATAAATGCTACGTTTCCGTAAGCTGGAATCACTGCCGACATGATAGTAAGCGATGAAACAAAATTTTTCGGGGAAATACTGTTTCGGAAAGACACGATGTATTAGCAATATAACTAATTCTCTGCATTTATATTTTTCATTTATAATGTATAATTAAATTACAATAGGCACTTGTACATAAGGCAAATTGTTTTCACCTAAGAGTACAATACACTTACTTGTACGACAATTAAGGATAGTACGTGAAAATATAAAGTAAATGAGAGATGAACATTTTTCGAAACTCGTGTAGGAAGAATTCCACTTCTTTGACACGGTACAAACTGGCAGAATGTTTGTTCATATTTCACCTTATATAATATTCAGATTATTCCGATTCGATGTATCTTTCGCATATAACACATAAACGATGCAGACGACGAAAAGTTCGAGAACCCTCTATAACTCGTAATTCTTCTTTCAATCATTATGTACATAAATGAAGTACATCCTCGATGTTTTAATAAAAAAAAAATTGTTTTAATATACATATGTAGCACGTATCGATCCAAGTATTCTACTTACAAAATTAAGTAGATGCACCTATATATATATATATCCTTTCAATGAATGTTTCTTGTACTTCTTGTAGCACCAACAATGATGATGACACAAGAAAAACTTACGACTGCGCGGTAAAATGCGATGTACAAAAAATAGTTGAAACATCGCGTGTTTAAGTATGTTTTCAAGTCTTGTGACGATTCTTAAAGACATTTGTCAAAATAACAAAATGTCAACTTCGTTTATATAAAAAAACAAAATCTATGTATATAATACTGTATCAATGAACACGGTGAGAATTCGGTGATAAATGAATTCCAATAATGACATATATACTTGGATAAACTTAACTAAGTACTCGAACTTGGTAATCGTATCAAGAGACTATCGAATAAAACTATAAAATGTAGCCTAAAGAATGGTAGAGCTTTATCATAATGGAAGTTCATTTATAAACTGATAAATGCTTTTAAGTGTTGAATCAAAGGGCAGTCGACGTGCGATTCTCGTAAGTTTGACGCGCCACTTCCTTCAGAACTTCCGCCATTGCTGGTCCAGTTTCGTTTATCATATTATTCAAGTGTCCCTTCTTCTCGATCAACAAGTGAGGGGCATCAAACTCCTATAATGGAACAAATTTATTAAACCATTTCTTCAACGGTTCTTTTGTTACAGTTAAAAACCGTACAACCAATACTACGACACTTACCACAACATTTCCGGCATCCATCACCAAAATACGATCACTGTCCATCACGGTATTAAGACGATGCGCGATAGTCAGCACTGTACATTTGGCGAACTTTGTGCGAATCGTTCTTTGAATCAGCTCGTCGGTTTTTGGATCGACGTTCGCGGTAGCCTCGTCTAGAACGAGAATGGGATTATTTCTGACGATGGCACGAGCCAGGCAGACCAACTGACGTTGACCGACACTCAAATTCGAACCGCCCTCGTTGATGTGAGCCTCTAAACCCATTTCCTTCAGTTCAACTTCCTCCAACGCTTGCCACAGCAAATTGTCGCTGCAGGTGTCGAAGGGATCTAGATTTTTTCTCAGTGAGCCAGAGAACAAGAAAGGTTCTTGAGGAATTATACTGATCTTCGAGCGCATATCGTGAAGCCCAATCTCGTTAGTCTTGATACCATCTACCTCGATATAACCATCTAGAT